CTGGACCTGTCAATCTGGACCTGTCATTCTGGAACTGTCATTCTGGACCTGTTCTCCATTCTGGACCTGTCAATCTGCACCTGTTCTCCATTCTGGACCTGTCATTCTGGACCTGTCAATCTGGACCTGTCATTCTGGACCTGTCATTCTGGACCTGTCAATCTGGACCTGTTCTCCATCCTAGACCTGTCATTCTGGACCTGTCATTCTGGACCTGTCAATCTGGACCTGTCATTCTGGACCTGTCAATCTGGACCTGTCAATCTGTGCTAGTTTGTTTCTACTTCCCGTCCTCTTAAACTCAGCTGGTTGAAGCAGACGGCCGCTCGTCCTGAACCTGTTTCTGTCGGTGGTTTCTTCTTGTTAAAGATAGTTTTTTCTTTCCACTGTCCCCTTTGTTCTCGCTCAGGATGGGAGACTGTGATGAAGTGAAGGCTCAACACGTCTGCTGGCTTGCTTAGGTAATAACTTTACTAATTAGTGTTTCATAATGTGTGTGAATGTTTCGGTTCAGTGCCCTGACGTGACTTCTGTTATGACCTGGTGCTATAAAAATAAACTGAGTTGAACATTTCAGTAGATTAGATAAAGCAATTCAAACAGCGATGGTTCAAACTGAACGCATTAATATTTGAGCAGAAATTGTTTGAAGTACAGTCAGAGCGCCGTCGTGTGCAAAAGGCACCAGTGTTTAACTCATGTCATTAGCCTGGTATGAACAGGTCACAGTGAGGCGAAGCTCCGGCCTCAAATACAGGCCGTGTGTGCGCACGCTGCTGTTAGTGTTAATGTCTATGTTTAAGATCTGACACGAGGTCCGCTCACCTTTGGTCCTCAAAACCCAGAGATGTGGCAGCATTGACTGAACAGTTTGCAATATCTGCATCTTGTCAACACATCATGAATAAATACATTATTTATTGGTACCTTGAGAGAAATGTCCAAAATAAATCTTAAACAATGCACTTTTCTGAGCACAATCCACAAATAACATAATTTTTAGTAGAAAAACCCTAAATTATCACTACAGTCACTGCGCTCTCACAAAGAAAATTTTCTTTCCAGCTGGGAAATCCCGACATCTAAATATGGTTTGGGGTTTCTTCTTTAAAACGACGTTGATGAATGTTCATTAGAAAATAGAAAAATAGGATTCAGACTTATTTTCCAGGGACTATCCCAATGGGCAAAACAAATCAAGCCACATTTCTAGAACTGCTCGTGAAGTCAGGATGATCCAGGAGTCACGCCGTCCTTTAGTTTGACCATCTGATTTAAACAAACCTCTGGAAATTAAACATTTACCTTTCATTCTCTACTGTGTGCTGTAGTTTATAATATAGCAGGGGTATTTAAGAAAGAGAAGTATCTGTAAAGAAAAGGCTTAAGAAGTGTTTTTAAATCACTTGGAGGAAGTCATAAAAGGTGATAAATGCACAATAATATCATAAAGCAAAGACATTCCTTTTAGTAAATACAGAAGCTCGGTGACACCA